GCAATCTACAGGCCAGCTACTTTAAATAGCACTCACATGGAGTTTGCATATAGCATTTCTAATAATTATTTGGTGTTGCGCCTCATCGACAGATAATCGTTTATTAACCCTATCTTATGGTTGGATGGCGGTTTCCAGGTCATTGTCATTCATACAACATTGCTATGAGCAGGTATGTATGCGTCCCTGTATTTACTTTTGCAGCTCCTTCAGTTACTAAGGACCACAAATCTGAGGCCAGAGAGGTTAAGTGACCTCTGCAGGATCACGAGTGGGAGAGGCAGGCCTTCCACCCAGACCTCCTGACCTTGGTCCCTTGTTCCTTCCTCCAGCCTGCACTGCCCTTTCTACTGGGCAGATTTTCCATTCCTTTCATGCTTTTCTTTACTAGGCTATGAATCTTTTGCAGTGTTCCTACGTGCTGTCTTTTGGAGCTTGAGAAAAATCCTTGTGGAATGTCCTGTGCCTTCTCCCTCGGAGTTCCCCCAGCTTTGTTTCAATTGTTCACGAGAAATGCCTGCCCTGTTGGGAGGGCCCCAGGAAGCTGTGAGGAGATTTTGCCAAAAATGGTGCTACCAACTCAGGCACAGCACACTGAGGCGCTTTCCTTTTCCTCAGATTTCAACCTAAAAAAGGGCAGGGTGGATGCAATTGCTGGGGAGGGTGTCCCCATTCCTAGCTTTAACTTTCTTACATAGAGCAAGCAGGACTAGTCATGTGTAGACAAAGACGATGTTAAGGGTTAAAATGGGCCTCAGGGATGGGGCGAGTGGTGGGGTGGGCTAAGGCTTAGAGGGTAGGTTCGGGATACGGAAGGGTTAGGGGTGGAGTAAAGGGCCTGGAACAGGGTGAGTGTGTCTCTCAAACACGCCTCGGTCATACAAAAAGCTTCATTTATTTTCTAGGATCTTGGAATAGTGATATCAAATTATCTATTTGAAAAGGGTCACACCAGGCCCAGTCGGCGTGGCTTAGTGGTTGAGCATCAACCTATGAACCAGGAGGCCATGGTTTGATTCCCAGTCAAGGCACATGGCCGGGTTGGGCACATGCCCAGGTTTTGGGCTCGATCCCCAGTGGAGGGCTGTGCAGAAGATAGCTAATCAATGCCTCCCTCTCATCATTGATGTTTCTATCTCTCTCTCTCTCCCTCTCCCTTCCTCTCTCTCTGAAATCAATAAAGACATATTTTTTAAAAATTTTGAAAAAGGTCACATCAGATTTTTTAAAATACACAAAAATAATTCTAATATGCACCTATACCCAACATTACCAAATGACACAGGGAACAGTGGCTTGGGAAATTGAGACCACAGGTGATCTTTGAGGAATTTTCTCCCTTTGCTTACTACGGGAAAAAATGTCCTGTAAAAGCATGTACCAGGTTAACCCTGCCCTGTTCAGAAGACTGGTGTTGGGGGCAGCTGAAACCCCTGGAATTAAATACCATCCAAAATCTATTCAATAAATACTGAGAAACAAACAGCTATTTGGATAGAAAAGACATTGGCTGAGGGCCAGAGGCGTGAGTTAGAATCCCAGCTCTGCTACTTATCTGCTGCAGGAGCTTGGGCATGTCACTTTCTCTCTCTGAGCCTCAGTTTCCCCCTCTGCAAAATGGGGTACTAAAACTGAGCCTCACAGAGCTGAGGGCTGAGAGCCTATGTTTCAGGCCTTGGCAGCATGCCTGGCACTCAGCATGGGTGCTTAATAAACGATGACATACTTCTGCAAGCGTGAAGGACTTTCCCGGCCACCCCCCGCTGCAGGGACACCTAGGCCACTCTGTACACAAGATGGATAGCACAGCAGGCCGTGACATTGTTCTGCAGCCCGAGTGTTGCTTCCTGTTTACATGGACCCTGCAGATGCATGGTTTGAACAGTGGATACAGGGATTTCCTGTGTCCTCCGCAGGGCCGCGTGAAGCAGAGGGCCTTCTCTAAGAGCCTTAGTTTCTCTGGACTTGGGCTGAGTGACTGCAGGAAGGGATCTGTGAGCAGTGAGTATCCTGAGAAGGCTGAGCCAAGCACAGAGATGCTGTCGCTTTAGGGTACAATCTAATCCCCAGCCAATGGTCAAACTTCATTTGAGCACCTACTATGTTCTGGGCTCTGTAATGACATCTTTATTCATTGGGGACCCACAGTATGCATTTGTGGAGCACCTATTACTTCCAAGATGATGTAATCACAAAGATAATAATTATTATTGAGCATCTACTCTGCACAACCATATTTTGAAGAGCTGCTGTGTTCTGTGCACTGTAACCATCTTTATCACATCATTTATGTGCCTGAACTCTCTGTGCCTCAGTTTCCTCATCTGTACAGTAGGGACAATAGTACCTTCCTCAAAGGCTTGGTATGAGGATTAAATGAGTTAATACATATAAAGCACTTAGGGCCTGAGGTAAAGTTAAGAGCTTAATAAATGTTGGCTGTCATCATTGTTAGTTATTGAAAATCCATTGTGCGCAAGTTACTGTAATTCTCTTAAGATAATAGTAGTTACATTAGTGAGCACCTACCAGACACAAGGCCCTTTAATCAACATCAATAACATAACTGAGCCACTATTATGACCCAGAACTGGGCTAGATAATAGAGACCTCAAGAACAGTGTCCTAGACAAGGTCTTACACTCTTATTAGGGGAAATTGGACCACTTTTGAGGTAGGCATCTCCAGAAGAGTCAGGGATGACTCTTATGCAAATATGGATTTAAAGCTATAAAGGAATAGCTTTGAGTGGCCAGATAAAGTTTGGGAATCAGGGCACTCTAAAAAAAATCTTTTTAAAAAAAAATTTATTGATTTTAGAGGGGAGGAGCAAGGAAGAGAGAGAGAGAGAGGGAGAGAGAGAGAGATGAAGAGAGATTTGGTGCTCCACTTATTTTTGTAATCATTGGTTGCTTCTTATATGTGTCCTGACAGGAGATCAAACCTGCAGCCTTGGTGTATCCAGACAATGCTCTTACCAACTTAGTTACCCTGCCAGGGCTTCAGGATGCTCTTGAACTACCTCTTGAACTGGGCCAAAATGGATTCTAAAAAGTTGTATTCCTGTGAATGTTCACCTGGAGAATAGGTCACTGGAGGGCTGAGGACCCCTCGGACCAAGTCTTCCTGGGGAGAAAGAGATGCTGGAGAGAGAAAGGAACTGCTGAGCTTTGGGCCCAGGAAGGATTGCCCTTGTTCTGCAGGGACAGAACAGAAGTGGGGGTAAACTCAATGGGCTGGGGGTTCAGTGCCCCTTTCCTTTCTCCTACCCTTGGACCACCGTGGCGATCTCACAGTAGGGATATTCAGGCTTGCCACCTTCTCTGCTTGGCCATAGGGCTAGGCCACAGCAGGCCACCTCCTCCAAGAGCCATGGAACCTTGTAGATCTCCAGGTTCTGCATTATTTCAGGGTCAATCCCATTCCACACTCTAGGCTGCTATTGTCCTCATATTTCCAAGGAAACAGGAGAGCTTCAGCAAGAAGGGTCTGGCTGGGCCTGAAGTTCAGAGCCACACAGAAATGGGCCCCGAGGCCTAAAATGACTCCTAGGCAGCCTGGGAAGATGTCTCAGGACTCAGGAGGCTTGAGTTCTTGGGTGGGGATATGGGGTACTCTCAAATTTTTACCTCAGGATTTTCTAAGCCTGGCTTGGGACAGGAGGAGAAATGCAGAAATATGAGAGTCTGGGGGCCCTTAGAGGTCACCAAAGCTACCCCACTCATGTTACGGAAGGGGAAACAGAGGCATAGAGAGGGGAAAAGATGTACCCAAGGTCTCTGGGCAGCTGAGTGGCAGAACCAGTTTGGAATCCAGGTCTTCAGAGTCCCTCACCAGCAGGATGCTGGATACCTGGGTGCTTTGTGGGGCCTGGTTTCTCAGCACTCAAATCAGTTGAATCTGAAGGTTTGCAGCCTTCAGTGGCCCAAGAAACACGTTCTCTGATGAAATGTGGGACTACATCATTCTGACCTTCCAGCCCTCACCTGGCTTGGACAGAACCACTTTTTTCAGAGATTTCCCAGGAAGGGTCATTGTTTCACCTGCCACTATTCCAGGTTGCCTGTTCCAACACCTCTCACACTGACCATTGTAGAGTTTTCCCTATATCCACCCTAGGCCTTGGTCATCAAAACCGTATCTTTAAAAGAATAAATATGCATAAAACACTTAGAACAGTGCCTGCCACAGGATAGGGGCTCGACAGGGTCTGTTGTCATTACCATCATCATTATTTCTACCTTTCTGCTCACACATGGCTGTGCTAAAGTTAGTAATCCTGGAAAAAGAGTTTAAATGGGGATTGGGTATAAACAGTCAGTCTGTTTCTTTACATGGAGGAACCAACGGTAAGGGAGGCTAGGAACCTCTCCAGTGATCCATGCAAGAGAAAACCCAGAGATTCCAAACTGAGACCTGTGGGCTTCATAATCAGCCAGCAAATATTTTTGTTCAGCCCATAGAGCATTGTGACATTTTAAAATTTGTTGCTAACATAAAAAATTCAGATTCCTGGCTTTTCTTGAAAAGGCAACAACCCATTTGAAACTGGGTTTACACCAGGTATTCCCTCTCCACTCAGACACAGTCTTTATCACCCCCTACTATTACCCTGCTCAATTCACCCATAAACTTATTTTTCCATTGGCTTTTCAGAGAGAGTAGAAGGGAGAGAGAGAGGCACATCAATTGGTTGCCTCCTGCACGCACCCCGACCAGGGCGGAGGATTGAGCCTACAACCAAGGTACGTGCCCTTGGCTGGAACTGAACCTGGGACCCTTCAGTCCAGGGGCTGATGCTCTAACCACTGAGCAAACCTGCTAGGGCTCACCCATGAACTTTTAACTGCCTGTCCCATAGATCCTTGAATTTATAATCCCCAATCCAAATGGCTATTTCCCCTCAATGAAGCCTTGGAAGGAGCATTTTGCCACAGACAATTTATTTTGCACAACTGCAGCTTGATGGACACGCGTCCATTGCACAGTTGGTGTCAACGTCACCACCAGTTACAGGGTTTGGACATGGGCTCGAGAGGGGCATTCCAGCCCGTGCGGATTGCTTCCCAGAGCTTGGGCAGACGGCCTAAAGAGAAGATCCCATTGCCAAACAAAGGGAGCTCGGGCAGCTTTATCCCTGGCCCCTGTGGCAGCATCGGAGTGAGGTCCTCCCTGTGCAGCCGGCGTGAGCAACTTGTGTTGATGGTGTTATCCATACACTGCAAAGCATGGACACCCTTGGTGGACGGCACCATGCGGGTGCTGGTGTGAGAGGCGACCATGCCGGTGCCGGGGTTGGGGTAACCGCAGGGGGAAGAGTGGTCTGGGTGATCCAGGTAGATGGAGTTGGCAGCCCGTTCTAGGTAGTTGGCTGCGAGCCTTGGCAGGCTCAGTGATTTGGGGCAGTTGGTGGATCTGTCAAGGTAGTTGATGCCCCTGATGAGTTGGTCCAGGAAGGTGGGGCTAGACTGGTCTGAGGGACCATCTGTGCAGAGCAGGCAGTGGAGGCTTTCTCGGCAATCAGGCTTTTTGGCCACCTTGGGGCGGTTCGCCAGGTGGCTCGTCTCCACGAACCTGGAGCTGTAGGGCCGGCCCATGCAGACTCTCCTCACTGGAAGTGGGGAGCTGGAGCCGTTGGACTGCTCCGAAGAGCTGCTGCAGCTGCTGAAATCCAAGCCACTTGAGGTGCAGGGAGGTTTGAGGCTGTTAGCTCTGGTCACAGGGTCTTGGGAGCAGTGTGGAGTTTGGACCAGAAAGGACACATTGTTGGGATGGTTCAAGCGGCTGTTAGGGTTGGAATGTCTCACCTGGGGCCCAGACATCAGCCTGATATGAAGATAAAGCTTCGTGGCGCTGAATTGCTGTGGGCTCACCTGGAAGCTGGTGACCTGGGCCTGGCGAGGAAAGTTGGGTCAGCTTTCCTCGGCTCCCTGCCACCTCCCTCCTAGATTTCTCTCCAGGTGCTCCATCTGCCTTCACAGAGCCAACACCACCCTTCTCCCCATCTCCCTCCTAGACCCAGGGATTTTCAAACCAGAAGACAGACACTCTATTCTTCAGACAGCACAAAGAGAATGGGTAGGAAGGCATGACCCTGAGAATGACGGAGCCAAAAGACCCCCTAAAACAAGTGGGGGAGTCTCTCTGTTCCTCTAGCTCTAGCCCACATTCTGTAATTCCTGTTCCCCCCTTAAGCTGGGGCTCCAGAAGACCATTGAGGCCGAGGACTGAATCTCTAATGGTGAAATTCCAAGCACCGACACAGGCCTTCTCTCAAGGTAATACCAAATAGCTAATCATCAACTACACAATGTGCTCTGAACTAAAAAAGTGTCTTAGAAGTGATGTAGTATTATGCGCACTCTCTCTGAGCCTGGACCTTTGCTTGTGTCTTACATGGAATTCTCCCTACAAATCAAGGTGGCAGTTAGTATTCTATTCCTAGTTGACAGATGGGGAAACTGAGGCTCAGAGAGATGATGTGACTTGCCTTCAGATCACACAGCCTGTTAGAGGTAGGGCCAAGGTACTATCTTGGGTGTGTCTGATGACCCCTGAAAGACAATGCTATGTCGTCGGGGTGACTTTGGCCTCCCCCACAGCCTACTTAGGAAGAATTCCCACCATACCTGCTCTGCCTGCCTGGATGGGGGTACAATGGGGAGAACTAGATGCAGAGGGGCACTTGCTAACCCCATAACTAAGTTGATGCTGACTTTAGGAACCCCAAAGGGTGGGGAGCAGGTGGTGTGACAAGCCGGCTAGTGAGGCTGGACTTGTGAAACCAGAACCTTCTACGATATTTGGCCTTGAAATTCATTAACAGTAGAGGGTTTCCTCATCTATCCCCCAGGAAGGAGTTGAGTATTGGGACTTCCACTCCTCCTAGTCCAAAAGTGGACACTTCATAGGGACCGAGCCCTGACCAGGCCAAAGAGATGCCCGGTCCATTTCACCCCGCTTCCCATTCCTGAGCCTGCCTGGACGCAGACAAGGGCAGTATCGTCCTCCCGTCCCTGTTCCCATTGTCCCTGAGTCCCCAATGCGCCCCCACCGGAAGGAAGGCTCTGACTTCTCTCCCCAGCAATGCCAGCTTGATGCTAATTTTCCACTTCTGCCTGGTGTGAGCCGAGCCGTAGCTGAGCCTGTTCCACCCAGAAAACAGCTGCCAGCCCCTCTCCCAACCCGTGGCCCTTCAGCTGCCCTTGTTCTTTGGTTCTGAATCGACTGGAATGTCCAGACCTTGGCCTCTGCCCTCTCTGGTCCAACCCCACCCCATCTCCTCCTCTGGAAATATAGGAGGTAACTGAGGGCTGACCCCCACAGGACCCCGCCGCTCCCTTCCTGGCTGGGCCCCCTCTGCTGTAAGGGCCCTCTCCCACTCTCACTCTGTCTTTAGGAGGTAGATGACTTAGCCTTCCTCTTGCTGTCCACTGAGGACACCCTCATGCCGCCACTCCAGACTGCTGGCCATGTCATAGAATCATGGAATCCTAGAGCTGGGAGGGGCCTCCCGGGGTCATCCTGGTCAGGCCCCTGCCTCAGGGCCAGTGTCACTTTAAGCCTTCCAAGACAGATGGACCCTATTTTTAAAACAGGGCTGGGATGGACGTTTTCCAGGATTCCTTGTTGTTTTTCAAAGTGTTTAATTATGCTGAGAGTCAGGAAGTTTCTGCTGGGTCTAATATAACTCCTGTTGGCTGTGGTCAGCATCGATTCTCTTTTCTCATCGTGTCTGTAAACATTTATCGAGAGGCCCTAGAGTGTTATCCCTTTGAATGGCCCATTCCGGGGCATAAGAGCACCTTCTTTCCTCCCTTCTCACCTCTTCCTCACACCCTCAGCAACCTGGTTTGAGTGCCTGACATGCGTGGTGCTCTGGCTGGAGCCTGAGGCTTTTTAAAAAATTTTTAATTTTTATTTATTGATTTTTTTTTTTGAGAGAGAGGGAGATTTGTTGTTCCACTAATTTATGCATCATTGGTTGATTCTTGTATGTGCCCTGACTGGGGATCAAACCCACAACCCTGGTGCTTCAGGATGATACTCTAACCAATTGAGCTACCCAGCCAGGGCAGACTGAGGCTTCTTCAGGGAACAAATCTCAGCTCCTTTCAAAGCCCCTGTGCCCCGCCTGGCCGGACATGGCTCAGCAGTTGAGCATCAACCTAGGACCCAGGGGATTGCCATTCGATTCCCCATTGGGGCTGGCAAGTTGCTGGCTCAATCCCCAGGGCGGGGCGTGCAGGAGGCAGCCGATCAATGACTCTCTCATCATTGATGTTTCTGTCTCTCTTCCTCTCCCTTCCTCTCTCTGAAATCAATAAAGATATATTAAAAAAAAAAAACCCACAAACAAAACCCCCATGCCCCTCTGTAAGACCTGGTCCATAGGGGGCATCCAGTACATAATTGGTTGAATAAATAAATAAAATCCCTCTTTTCAGTCCTCATTGTATTTGCCAAGAACTTTTCTTCTCATCAAGAACTCCCTCCATCATTGTCTTCCCTAAATATTGGCAATACAGGTTTACTTTTTATTTTGAAAATGTTTCCACTTACTGAAAACTTACAAGACAATGAACTCGCATATAGACCTCATCCAAATCCACTATTAACACTTTTGCCACATTCGTCAACCCCCCAATTATTATTTTAAGCGTAAGTTGCAGACAGTAGCATCTTTATCCTTGACTGCTTCAGCATGTGTCCCCTACAAGCTGGGAGAACAGTATTTTCTTACACATCCACACTACGATGACCAAACACGGGATGTGAGCCTCGACACAGTGCTATTATCCGACTCGGGATCAGGCATGGCCCTTAGTTCTCAGGTCTCTGGTTTCCTTCAACCTGGAAGTCTCTGTCTTTGTGTCTTATGACACTGACATTTTTGAAGAGATGGGCAAGTTGTTTTGGAGAACTTTTGGGTTTATCTGATGTTTCCTAAGGATAAGATTCAAGATTACAAAGCACTTTTACACAGAAAGCTCTGCGTGCGCCCTCCCAGCCCACAACCCCTGAGAGGGAAGGGGTTTTTGCACTGGGGCGGGGTGATTATAGTTGCTGAAACAGGGAGATGGGAGGAAGGATCAGAGCCCCCACCCCTGCTCCCAAGGATGAAGAGGAGCCCTGGGGAGCCGTGGGCCAGGGAAGTGGTGTCAACAGTTCCTTTGTGGGGCCTCAGCCAGGCCTGGGGGCCTGGCCTCTGTGCCACTTGTCCTGAAGGTACCCAGGCATCAAGATCACTGGCCATTTCTGGCCTGGGCACTAAGAGGCTCTGGAAATAGCTCCTGGAAAATTATTTTGGGAGGAATGTGCCATTCCTCCTCCCAGAAAGCCAGGCTGTGTCCCATCAGATCAGGAATGTCTCTCTATGGCCTCTCCAACTCCAAGGGATCTCTAGGACTTCTGAGGACCACAGAGGCCTTCTGAGACATAAGGGGCTGGGAGCCCTGAGAGGGAGGGGTTGTTTTGTCCTTAGATCCTGGGCATTCAGGACCCAGCCTACAGTCAGGGCAGCTGTCTGACTCCAAGCACAGGGGACACTTGAAAGGGGAGCTACGGAGAAGCAGCCTGCCCAGCTCTTTCCCGGGCCCATCCCCAAGAAACTGACATTGGTGGAGCACCTCCTATGTGCCAGAGAACCTGACATTGGCAGCTCTAGGAACTTCACATCTACTTTCTCTTTCAATTCTCACGGCACCCATAAAAGGCAGGTATTTTGCTTTCTAGGTGAGGTAATTAAAATTCTGAGAGGGGGCCCCCCCGTGTGGCTCAGTTGGTCGGGTGTCATCCTGTGCATTGAAAGGTCGCCAATTCAATTCCTGGTCAGGGCAAATGCCCGGGTTGTGGGTTTGATCCCTGGTTGGGGCGCATGCAGGAGACAGCCAATCAATATTTTGCTCTCACGTCAATGTTTCTTTCTCTCTCCCTCTCTCTTCCTCTCTCTCTAAAAATCAATTAAAAAAAAGATTCTGAGAGTAACAGATTTACCCAGGCTCAACCAGTGGTCAGAATTAGAGCCTGGTTTTCTGGGTTCTATAGGTGTAAGCACTAATTGAGGAAGAGGGTGCCCCCCCCCTCACTCAAACTGAGGACTCAAACTGAGTGGTGTTGGGAGGGGTTGGAAACACAGGTTGGTAGGCAGCTGTGGCCCTGTCTCCCACCAGGCAAGTGCCCATCCTCCACCATCCAGCCAAGCCAAGCTGCTTCTCCCTCCCTAGCAATGCAGGGACTGATGTCAGGGTCTCAGAATGTCCTGAGTGGGTGGGGGCCCCTCCCTGCACAGTCTCCAGCCACAGTGGCCCCCCCTCTTTGCTCCATGGGAGCACTTCCAACCTTGGCTCCTTAGCTCCATTGCCAAACCAGCTGCAAATTGTGGGCTTTCCATTAGCCTTTGTCTCCCACTCACTCTCTCACCTTACTCCCCCTTCCTGTAGTCCCACCCACATCCTTGGCCCCTCCTGTGCCCCACCAAGACCATCAGGAGCCCTTTCTCCACCTCAGGCTCCAAGAGTTCAAGGGCATCTCCCTCGCCTGGATGCTCCTGCCCCATTAATGCACATGCTGCTTATAAATTACCCCCCATGCCACTAGCTGTTTTTCCCCTCTCTGGGGGCCGGATGTGGTGGGAAGAGCGTTCACTTAAGCTCTCAGCCACAATGCTCTTGGAAGCATCACAGGTAAGGAGCAAGCCCAGCTCAGTTCAGGGGACTGCTAGAGCCAAGAGCAATGACATTTTGGCTGTCCCACCCCGCTTAAAGACGTATGTGCCCAGCCTCAGGCGACTACTGCAGTGTGACTCACCTGAGCCCTTACC